AAGAAAGCGACTGGGGCGAGACGGGGAAAAGTGAGACGAGGCACTGCAAGCTGAAGAGACCCGAAGCAAAGTAAAGCGAAGCAAACTCAGACGAAGTCAAGCAAGGTGAGGTAGAGCAAAGCAAAACTTGGCGTAGTAAAGTGGGATGGGGCGGAACTAGGAGGTGTGTGCGGAATGGACTGAATGAGTAATTGTACGTCAACTACTACGGCCAATAGTCTCACACGAGTAGTGCATGTTATTTGGCGGGGGGCAGTGCCCCACTCGGAACAAACTCTAAGCTCCCAACTAGTCTCCCGACATGTCAAAGTAAGTGTGTATGTGGGTAAAGGGTGAGGATATGGTACGGTAGAGGAAGGAAAGATCGCGAGCGGTCCGTCGCCCGTTTGTTAAGATATTGCTCGTGTCTTCACCCGGTATTGATCGTAGAAACCTACCTAAAGAAAACTTCCTACCTCTTGAATTCCCCTTCAGACAGCGGTTGAATTCGACCTCGCTTTGCAGCAAGAGTCAAAAATCCCCACGGGCGGAATGAAGGCGCGCGTACGAGGAGTGATGGGTGTAATGTAGAAAGGAAGAGAAAGAAGTGGGCGTGTCGCGAGAAAGGACCCGAGACGCCGCCACCGCCAGGCTCTCGGAGTCGTCTTCGTTTGCGAGCGCGAGGCGCGGTCGCCGCCAGGGGCGCTGGCGCTGACGCAGTGCGAAGCGCGCGACGCGACGCGGGACGTGACTTCTGCTCCAGCGAGCCAGTAAACCCCCCCAAGGCGACTGCGAGGCGGCGTGCGGACAGGCAATGAGAGCGTCCGCGTTGGAAAGCTGTACGGGACGAAGAACGCGCTGCGCTGAAAGACTTTTCAAAAAAGCAAAGTAGAAGAAGCAGGTGAAGGCTTAATTCCTCGCATTTCTTGATAAGGCGGCGCCACACATTCGTTACCCACGAGTGGCGAGCAAAATCGCTCGCAGAATTTCGAGTAGTGTGGATGAGTTGCTTGCTATTTGCCGAGTGACGAACATTTGGTGCTCGCCCTACTCGCCGCGTCAAAGGAAGCACGTACCCATCAAAGGAAGCGAATATTCGCCGAACACATCAACTGTTCGGGATTAGGTGAGCAGTGGCTCGCTGCTCGACTAATACCGAGTGTGTGGGACCGCCTGTAACTGGGCTTTCCGAGAAACGCGACGTTTTCGACGATGGCGTCAATAATGCGTATATTATTTTTAAAGCTGAATTGTTTGGAGTGACAGCCTCGCAACGCAGTCTTGTACGTCTCCTGTTTCCCAAACATAGAATATAGAATGGAAGAACGAAATAAATTTCAAAATGCACAGAACGAAGATGATTAAAGACGATGTAGTAAAAAATAGCGCTATGTTGTAGAGAAATGGATGTCGTAATAAAAAAAGCTGCATAAACGGGTCAGTCAACTGATAAATGTTTAGGGAAATATAAATGAATCAGTTTTAGTACGACTTGTAGAAGAGGTAGTTACGATAACATATAAAAGTATTAAGTTTCTGATAACTTTATTGCCAGATCCCGTAAAATAGAATGTCACAATAAAAGCGTGTTTTTATCCAAGAAAGTTGAAAGAGAAAAATCCAAAAAAGAGGATTGATCCAAAGACAGAAAAAGAAAAAAGAATTAACCCATTCTTACTGAAAAGGAGAGTTGATTCGCAACGCCGATAACAGGTTGTTACCGAGAAAAGGGACGCACCTAAATACAATTACGTGCTCTTTTCTGTAGATCTCTATAGAGCACTTCAGTTGAGTCCCTTATTTGAAGTTTATGAGAAATGTAAATACCGAACGATTTTTATTCTTGGAGAATTATTTGGAGGCACTGCTGAGAGGAAAAAGCTAAATTAAATTTTGGGACATCCGCTCTGCAAAAATGTGCCTCGATAATATTTGCCATATATTTTTAATCATTTTTACTGTTCATACGAACATGTGTTCTATTAACTCTTCAGAATGAAGCAAAAATCTATATTTTGAACATATAGACAGAGGAAGAGTAAATTAACTGTATACACATATATTGTTTTTGCAGTGCACATACTGAGATACTCAGGTCAATAAAATTCTACTAACTCATTTCCCTTCCAGACTCACAAAATAAATTATTACTCTTATGAAGCAAAGTCATTGTACAAAAAGACAAAGAAGCATGTTCTTATCTACAAGATAGAAAATGTCAATCATACATACCGAAATATTCATTTCCTATGAATACTGATTTTGGAAATCTCAGAACAAATCAAAAGTAAATTACACGTGATAAAAAAATTACTCAAGCACGAAACATGAAAGTGCATTTTCTTAGAACATAATGGGCAAAATAATTCTTGAGATTCAAGTCCGATTCCGTTGACATTTTACAAGTATTATAATCGTACTCTCAAATGAAAATTATCAGTTTTTACCTCGTTAATTTTGTTTTTATCTGATTTATTGCATTTCTTTTACACTTTAATTGAAAAACATCGTATTTCAATCTGTTAGTACGAGATACATGTACTAAATCGAAACCAATGTAATGAAATGTTGAGGGGGGGCTCTTCGCAATTAAAGATATTCAGTTATCAGAACATCTCCGGAAAGATTACGCGGTGGAGCAAAAGGCTGTAACGTTAACTTTCTGCAACGGTTTAGTTCAGCACGCAGAACCTTTCAAACAAATGCCAGGGAGGGTTTCGGCTCCGCGGCGGGAGTCCTCCAGAGGTACCCATCTATCTATTCGCACGGCGGGACGGCGTTCCGCATTCTGGCGGCAGCTTCTGCAATTAGTTTTCTGCTCCTGAGATGACTCCTCCATTAGCGGCACCCTATCTCTGCTTGCAGGTCTCCAAAGAAGAATGTGGTCATGTATTCGGACTACTACGAGGAGAAGGACGATCCGGCTGTAACTTTGGGGCAGCGCTCCATCTCATTGGTGAGTACCCGCTCCATTGTTCCGTAGGCATGAATCATTTCACATGAATGCGAGAATTGAAGTAACATAACATAAGATACGAGCATAACATTAAATATATTATATTAACATAATATAACATAGTATTAAAAGTGGTTACATAATTACATGACTGTATCATTTTGAAGTCGCAACATCATTTAATATTACACACATTAGTTCAAATTTTCTGCACAGAATTAGAAATTTTGAAAAATCTAATAAAACTATTGGATTGAAATTTAAATATTTACTTGCAATGAACACATTCAAATATAAACAAACATTTTTAATTTCTTTAAACTAATGTCAGGCAATGCTTCTCTGTTGCAATATATTACACTTCACATGCTACTGGTCACGTAATGGTTAATCACAATTTGCGCTATCCTGTGCAAAAAGTTCAATGGCTGAAAGACTTACTTGCTAGTATGGATTGTTATTTGTCCTGGTTTGGACAAGGTTTTCAAGTATCCTATTGTTAAAGCGATCTCCCTCAAGATTGGGCTTGCATTCACTATGATACTGTCTTTGAGAAATTTGATACGCTTGTCCGAGATAACGTTCAAGTAATAATTCCAATATTTCACAATCGCAGGGGCACAATATGCAGCGGAGACACGCTTGATACGGCGGGCGAATACTTGAGGATTCGGCGGGTCGCGTAGAGCTTTTGTTCAGAGGCGCTTGTGTCAACATAAGTTCGTAAAATCTACATCAACAACGTCTATGTGCAACAGGCACATGCATATTCCCATTGTACTACGTCTATATTTTTCGCGCAAGTGCAAGTAATAAGTTGACAAAGTTTTATCGCAATCGGATGAACGATACGGCAGCGCATAAAATACGCACTAACTTTATATATATATATATATATATATATATATATATATATTATATACACTTCCATTGAATCTTTCCCCAAATTCATAAGCTGTTTAACCAAAAATTTAATTAACTTTTATGTACCATATATTTTGTTTTAAAACATTTTAACACGAAAATAGCTGTATGAAATCTGATAATAGGTATTTTCTCAGAAAACGAACTGTGATGTCACTCCCGTGACTTGTTTCCGGAGTTTCAGAACTTTCATCAAAACGGTGGATGCGCGACAAATTTTTACCCATTTACTTTCAATCTCTTCAAGAGTACCTGGAACATAAGTAATGAGAAATTCACTTTCGCGTAAAGAAGTGAAACAGAGATATTAGAGAATTCGAGAAGAGAGAACCATAAGGAGAATAGGGAAAGTATAAAAACGATGAAAAATTATACTTCTGTTAACTCTGAAAGAGCACTTTATGTAATGAGAATGCAACTTCTGAACTTAGCTCATTACATTAAATACTTTTAGCTCCCTTAAATGAACGAGATCTACCGCAGCGGCAGAATCAATTAACTGAATGGCGAAGCTATCAACAAGAGCATGAGGAAATTTACAAACATATGATAATGAATAGTTGTCAAAAAATTCAGTTTAACTCAGACTCAATAACTATAAATCATTTTAATATTTATTTGCAAATTATGAGACACTATTTCAAAAAATGAAAATAAAAATCCGAAAAATATTATCGTGCACAAAAAAATAAATCTAAACTTTGTATTCTAATATCTTATTCTACTGAATAGTACGATATATACCATAATACTAAATAATTATATTTATAAAACTAGATTCCTTTTTGTTATTTTTTCTTCTTAGTTATTCAGTGAGATAAATTCAAAACGTGAAATCATAATGGTATGGTTATTGTACATAAACAATCATCAGCGAAAAACGTTCTGTTATTCAAACTTCGTATTTCACATTCTGATGCAGCATTTGTCCCTCGATTTAAAAGGAAAAACGTCAATTTTTATCATTACTGATGAAAATGCAAACCCAGGTTACGACTCCCATATGACTTCCGGAATTAAATTCTTTGGAAAATCTTTTTAAATGGATTTCTCTCGTAGTTTGCGAGCGTAGTCAATCTGCGGAGAACGGAACCGTAGAAAAAAATGTGAACCATGCTTAACCTGTGAACCCTTTCTAACTCGAAGAAAGCGCGAGAGACGTAGAAAAAGCAGACTTCGTTCTGCTTCCTTTGGTAAATCCAGGTGATTTAAAAGGCCCGGTGAGACTTCGTACAAACGATACGTTTGGGTTTCTCCTTCTGCCCGCTCTGTCACTTTAAAACCGGCTGCTGCGATGTCCTCGAGTCGAGTTGGTCGCTTCTTCATTGTTATCGGGCATTCATCTGCTTGAAGAAAATAAGGTTTTTTATTCTCAGAGATTCCTTCGCTGAGCCGTATTCTAAGACTTCATTGATTCACTAAACTACACTACAGTTCGTACCTATATATATTTGAAGATCAAATTTGAAGATCAGTGCTCTACGTGCAATAAATACTAGATAGACTAATATTTTATTCTATAAATATGACAAAAGATATTTTGCAACATCATCAACGCACATATATCCAGTAAGACAGCCAATTCTGTAAGATACATGAAAATGTAGGGTATGGAATATAACCAATATTATAACAAAATAATATACAGTATTTTATACAAATCTTTATGTGGTAATAAAAACACTACTTCTATGTAATAGGAAATTTGATAATAATTTTGCATGTGTGAAGTGAACATATGGACGCAATTTTTTTATTTAGTCATTCACTATCTTTGCAGTTAGGAACGTTGCCAAGCTTTTTTACATAACATTTTGCAGTCTTATTTTCTTGATATTTATTTTAATTACAATTTGTGTGAAGTAGTACGCCACATTTCTAGTCAACTGAAAAAAGAAAAAAGTAAAACTGTTCATTCCAACTTACAGAGGTCTCATGTGTCTCGTTCCCTTTTCAGTATCATATTGCATTGCATACTTCGTGCTGAAATTTTGCAATGCAATCCTGTTGAATACGGAGATGCACCTACATGTGATATATCTGCAAACAGATACTCTGGGGCGGATACCGTTCAGAACCTACAGTCACGGAGCAGCAGAATAATATCAATGATTCCTCCCCTGGAGTTACTCGGGCATTCAGTTCCTGAGATCTGTTGGTGACCAAGAAAACAAAGCTTCTGGGAATGCTTATGCGCATGTTTTTTCAGCTGACTTCAGTAGTCGCTCAATGGATTATTTTGAAGAATATCTGTCTTGTGTAAAACATATCCTCCAGGGCTTGAGGATCATTAGCAAAGCTCACTAAATTTATAATGTCACAAATATTACTACTCACAATAACTAGTTCTGTTATTCTCAAATTGCAATTTTAGTGGTTTATTTTAATATAATTAATGGATACTTTATTTCTACTCCTCTTCAGTGCACTCAAACAATCCTCTTTAGAAATTGCTCAATAAACACACATTCGCACGTTATGATAAATGAAATTACTGGGTCAAAGGGACAACTTGACTTTCAAGCACATTTCTAATAAATGACTAGTTTTGTGGTGGCGGTTTGAGAACGCGATTACAATAGTGTTCCTTTGAAGCAGGCTTTGAACAACCACAACAAAAGCGGCAGCTGTATATAATATCACAATATAAATCATTTATAAGCAATTCACGATCCAAGATGAAGGGAGCTCAGAAAGATCTCCTGGCAGCTAAATCCGATCCCATTGAGCGAGTGAGATCAGGGACTCGCCTTGCAGCTGGTGATGCGGGGACGGCAGAGGGTCATCCTCGGGGGAGGGGGAGAGCGCCCGCTTTTCGGGCGCTAACAGGCCGGCTGGCCCGCCCGCTCACAATGCGCCTGTCCGGGTGAAATATCGTCCTGAGACGCCGCGGCGGCGGTCGCGCCGGTTCGTTACACGACGGCGGCGGCGCCACGCCACGCCGCGCCGCGCGCTCGCGACCCCGCGACCCTTGCCCACTCCCCCCACCCCCCGCAGGCAGTGACCTCGCCCCACCGCGCACCTTCGCCTTCGTCCGGGGATGCCGCGATGTAGCGGAACCTGCGTAGATCCAGTCGGGAGGCGACGGAAATAATATTAGTGTCTTTTTGCAGAGCTTATTGTAAAACGGTAAGTGTTTTAAAGGAAACAATGTGATCTATATCCTTTGACGTGTTCACAACGTTTTGCACAATGGTTTGTTCTAGGACTACGATAATGATAGTAGTTTCAAATTGTGATGGAGGAGCGCGTTGCTAAATTCCTAGTATACTGCTACCCACACTTCAGTCGCATTTGTTCGACTAGAGCTATCCACCTACGCATCTTGGGAGTAAAGAGTTGGCAGCACACTGTCCCCGAGGGTCAGAGGAAATTTGATTTATCATAATTATGCGACACGCACTGCACACGATACACGTCAGATCATCAACTCCGAGAATTCCGGCAGTGTATTGGTTGCTGACGTAACTTTAGCGTAACGTTAGAGATTCCGTATGTGCAGAGGCTCAGAAGTGAGTTCATATCGTAAACGGTATAGTACTTCAAGCCGTGCAAAAATATCTATGGAATGATCTATTGTTACGTTGTGGTTCGTATTGACCCGTACAGCGAGAAGGGTATGGATTCAAGACGTTGCATATTTGAGTAACTGTATTTTAACAATATATATTTTAGTATTTGATGTTTTATTCGACCCGTTCATTTGTTCGGATATAAATGAACGAGCAAACAGCCAGTGATATCGCTCCCATGCGCACGCTCTCCTCTTTGATAGGGAAGCTGCAACACTGCGGAACCCTCCAAAATTCAATATGAAGGGAGCAATAAGAAGATTAAATCACGAAATGCTTATTAAGTCGCAAGGATAGAGCGCATTAAAAAAATAGAAAACAGACTGATATATGCCTAAGAATATAAATTGGGATAAAGAAGGATCTACATAAATCAAGCACGCCAGTGTACCGCCGTCCACGGCGCGCCGTCCGCCGCTGATCGCCCTGGCTGGCCGCCCGGCGTGCTCGCGTTTCTGGACCACTGGTAGGGGGCCGCAGGGCCGCCACGGCAGCAGCTGCGCCCTACCCGCAGGGCGGAGGGCGCTCGCT